GTGTGTGTGTGTGTGTGTGTGTGTGTGTGTGTGTGTGTGTGTGTGTGAGAGTGAGTGAGTGAGTGAATAATATTTCTACTTTTATATTGTGTGTGTGGAAACGTTTATGTGGTTTTATATGGCAGATCTGACTTGGCTGGCGACGTTGCTGTACCTGGTGGGCAAGGTGGCTATCACGCAGGCATTTAGCGGCATATACATGTACACGTCAGAACTGTTCCCGACTCACGCGCGCCACTCACTGCTCGGCTTTTGCTCCATGGTGGGCCGTATCGGATCTATCGTGGCACCACAAATGCCGCTTTTGGTAAACAATTATATCAATATACAGTTAGTCATCGTTGTGTCAATTTCATGTGTTTTAAACAGTTGATGTGAAGTATTAATGAGAGTTTACTCTAGCCATCTTAGCAGAAAACTGCAGACCGTGTGGTCTGCGGTTGATCTTAGATGACCAAATGCTAAATTTGTATTCAGGCGCTCTACGTGGAGTGGTTGCCGTCGGTGCTGTTCGGGTGCACCGCGCTGGTCGCGGGCGCGCTGATGCTGACTACACCGGAGACGCTGCACACGCGTTTGCCCGATACCATCAAGGAAGCCGAGCAGCTGGCGCGACGCCCCGCCGCCTCCTCTACCGTGTCCCCCGCCAAACAGAATGATATGCAGATGACATCACGGTGCTAGCGAGTCAGTTGCCTACTAGAGACTCAAAGACATCATGACTTAATATTGTATCATTTTAACTTATTTAGTTAGGCCATTATCAGTTAATACCTACAGTGATTACGTAACTTTGATGATGCGTTTTTTTGTATTGAATTAAGTATGTGTGTTCATAATGTATATATAGCTTATCGACTCTTCTGCCTGCTGGTAGAGTCGTTGTATGTCATAATGGTGAACCGTAGACACAAACACGTAATCAATCAAGTAAAAAAATGTAGATACAAACAATTAGGTATAATTAAATGTTATTGTTCCATTCAGCGTTCCACATATAACTGATGTGTCCTGATAAGTGCCTTCCTTATTTCTGTCCTTAATCTATTCTAGTTTACTTTCCAAAGTTTCCGTTCTCTTCGTTCAGGTGAACATATTGCGGCAACACCAGTTCTGTTTTATATGCGTTATGGAGAATGACCCAAATAGCGCCGTTTGATCGTAAAACCCGCATTCCCAATATATCCCGCGAGTCGCGCGCCGATCGTCGCTTTTGCGCTGGCGCCTCCGACGGTCGATCGTGCGTTTAGGAAATGTAATACTAAATTTTGTATATACGACATAACTTTGTTATTCCGTGCGCTTCTTACATAACAAAAATTACTTCAATAGATTACCTACTAGGTTTTACGGTCGACGGCGTAGGCTGTGCGCTACTAGGTAAATATTGAGTTTCGCCTGTGTGATAATTTGCTGTCGAATACCACGAACATTGTCGATGTAGTTTTAGTTTGGAGCGTTATGCATATAGTTCTAGCCCTGTTATTAGGGCCAACGAGATCAAAATCTCTAGGTACTTAAATGTGGAATATTATAATTATTCATTTGTGCCGTTTTGTAAATTTTGTAATTATTTGGGATGTATGATCGAAACCGGTGGCAAGTGTGTGGCAAATACTTAGTGAATGAGTAAGTGCATAACATCGGCATGTCCCGGCACGAGCTGCGCGCGCGCAGCGACTACACCATGCCGCCGCCACCGCCCAGCAAGTGCGCTAAAGTAAGTGCCCGCCTCAATCCTCACACTTTACATTAATATTACCATTATTATACTCAACACAATTCGAAAGTACAGGATGGTTGCCATGGAACTGTCAAAGGTCTATATCTCAGAGAATATTAAAAGTAGGTAACAGCGTTCGATCAAATGCCACAAGGGCCTGGAATAAAAGGGCTTTGATTCAATTAAAATTTGGCATTCGGGGCTATTTGGAGAAGAATTTGTTGTCAACATGGTCGCCCTACAATTGTAATTCTTGTACAATGTGGTGGATCCAAAATGGCCGCCATGCAAAATCGTCCCTTGTTGTATCTCTGCAACAGTTTATAGGTAATAGATGAGTGAATATACATTCTAATCTAAAAGATACATTCCTTCTTCTCAGCACACTGACGTCAATGTAAATTCATTTCGGAAAGAAAACATAGTAAGTACTTGTAGTACCATAGGAGCGTTGTGGTACTGGTAGTTACTATTCACGGGAGGGAGCATCCGAACAAACCCGAGCAAATCCGAATTCAATTCGGATCATTATTTTCGCGAACCTAAGTAACTATGTGTGTGTGGTGTTATTAATTAGTATTAACGCTTGCGCACTGCGTCCGTTTAGAGTTCGACCACGGCGGTGGCGGCTACGCGGGGGGATGAATACTCGTACACAGAGTGTTTTTGTCTATGGGACAATATGGGGAAATCCGAAACCATAAAAGGTACAAGGAAATTGTCTTAGGAAACATTCATTCTTTTTTGTGAAACATTTTTTTGTCAAGCGTGAGTTGTCCATAAAAATGAATAAAATTGATCAATTTTTATAATGTACTGATCGACTCAGTTTCACGAAGGGATCATTTCATTGTATGGGACGAAGAATATCGCGACAGCAGAAGTTGGTCAAATGTAATAAAATCATTTTTCATACAAAATAGATAGGTAGGTACCTAAAACTTTGTACATTATTTTACATAACATAGGTACTAACAATGCCGAAAATTGACGGAGATTGAAAGGACAAATAGTTAGTAGTAATCTCTGGGTGTACAAGCGATATTCGTGTTTTCTCGGATTCGAATTGGCCTTTGTGCACAAGCGGGGCCGCGTTTTCTACATTTGTGTAGTCTCGGATTCGGAACGAACACGAATCGGACGCAGTGCCCCATCGCGGCAAGGCGGCGACGCAGGCCCGGGCAAGTCCAACAATTTTTAAGTGGCGGGACGAACAAGTCGTGCGCCTGGTGGTAAGCGACACACTTGTTCATAGCAGTTGCCGTGCCACTCAGAGCTTTAAATCGCAAAGATTTGAGGGGCACTCGTCGTCTACTTTGACGACGTCCTATGAAAACAACTAAAAAAAAAGTTAAAATCCATTCGTTTTAATCATTATTGTAGTCAAATGGACCTATAACCGATGAAAGGTGTGAAACGTTAGTTAAACCAAATTAAAAACTAATGTACACATGTAGATACTGTTGTGTGCTTGTCATGCTGACTAAACTATTCAATACTCCAGGCTTGAGTACTATAATGTGGTAGGTTCAGATAAACAATTCTGACAACATAAATAACAATACTACCAAAATCATCGTTTACAACACGAGAAACAGTTGTAAATAGGAATCACAGATAACCTCCGGATTCATAGATATTAAAGAATTGGACTATCTTCAAAGCATATAATTATCATATATATAAGGCACATTCTAATTACGTACGAAAAGCTATTTAAATAAATAGATGTTTATATAAAATATTTCTCAAAGCAAAAATATCAAGTCTCGTTAAATCAGTCTCAAATTCAATATCCTTTCTAATTTTTCTGTTTCTTAATATGAATATTTTATCTTGTTCTCTTCGTTCATTCTGCTTCTTGTTCGCATTTCTTTTCATCAAATTTTCAAAGGCGTTAGCCCCTATGAAAGAGAAGTCATAAACTTCTGACGTAGTCATATCAAAAACTATTAAGTATTATAGCCGCAATTTAGAACCGTAATAATAATTTCATTTCCTAATCCTAACAATCGCGGAAATTTAAGAACCCGATAAAATATATTTATTTTTCACTTGCATTTTCTGTCCACTGTGTCTTCAGCGTTCTTAGTATTTTCTGCAATTAATATTTCGTAAAACTTTCGTAAATACTTAGAAACAATACTTTTACGTACATAATTACCTATTTGAAATTATTTTTACCGACCGTGATATCCGATGGGTCCTTAACGACTGTGTTTACCGCAAACCAACACGTATAGATACATGCAACATCATAGCACCACTCACGTCACTTGCAATCCGTGATGACGTAACAGAGCTTATGATATGCGTGACCCTGAGCATGAAAAACGGATACCAAATGACCCGGCGACGAAAAGGAGATATAGGCATCCGGAAGTGAGTAGACAACCAGCGTATATGCCAATGCCCTATGTTCATGGACTGACAGACAATATCGGCCACGTTTTAAGGCAATACTTCACGGTCACTTCAGGCTAATGGTAACTGACATAGTGGTAGTACCCTGAAGTAAGATATCCTTCAGGGTGCCCACTATGGTACCATTCCAATCACCTGGTGTCTACAAAATTATGACACCAATTTGGCAGATATGTTAGTTGTTACATAGGCCGTACGAAGAAAACTAACAGCAGAACATTTACTGGAAATTGGTAAAAATCATTGGATCAAATGAATCTTCTCTCCACTGGTTTACGACTTTTTTAATTTTCCGTAAATCAGTTAATAAACAAGGCTAATGGAGAGGGTTTCAATGATAAAAGTTGGAATATTGTCAATAGAAGTGGAGAATTAGTAACAACAGCTTCATTGGTGAATGGGGTTAAAAGTTTAACATGTCTAAAATATGACTTTGCCATGATTGCGTCTGCCGTTACCTGGCATCGCTGCCTAGGGCTTGTAAATGATACTTAAGTATATGAGTGAAATGTGTGGAAGTGTATGTGAAAGGATTCAACGTCGTCGATAAGGTGAATCATATAAACAAGTCATCAAGTAAGGTATTTTGGGAAGAAAAACAATGTCGTTTGCCTTTCCGTAATGTAGGCAACAAAGTTGACATTCTGCTGAAGACAATGCACACTGACATCTATGACCCCATGGAAGTAGCTGCTATCGGGGGATCCAGATACTGCCTGTTGTGTGCTGAGGACTACAGACGTAGTACATAAAAAACTGTGAATGTAGCTTTTAACCATTTCAAGCAATTTAGGCAAAAGTTGAGAAACAATTAGACAATAAGATTAAGATTTTAATGAGTGACAATGGCCGTGAGTGTAATAATCTGTTTGATGATTACAAGTGGAATTATCCACTAGAGAAGCTTTGCACGCCTGAACAGAACGGTTTATATGCGTGGATTAATATATAATGTTCTAACAATAGTTGAGAAGGCACGGTGATTGCTGTATGAGAGGATGCAAACACTGCGGATTGTCTGCGGAATAGAGTTGTGGGAGCAGAACTAAACGGAAAGACACCATATGAATGTGGATTAACACTAATCCGGAATTGAGTCCCTTAAGAATCTTCGGCAGCACAGTGATGGTGCATGTTGCCGAAGAAAAGTGACACAAATGGGACAAAAAGTTTCTGAAATGTATCTTGTTGGATTTATCTAAAGGATGTCAAAAGATGTAGAATATTTGACCCGACACAGAGACCAAGACCGTGTTCAGCAGTAGAATGTGATTGTTATGGAGAAGACTAATTAATGACTCTGATTGTGTCATTGAATTACATGACTAAGAAAGAAAGACTAACAGATACTAGAAGGAAGAGCTAAAAAATGTGAAGTTTCATTAGGGGACGAGTGTGAAAATAAGCCGAGAATCCTAGTAGACTCGTCAGATAATCAAGTTACACAGAACGTCCAAGTTCTCCAAAAAAATAAGGCCACAAATGGTTAGACCCGAGAAATATGGTATATCTCTAATGAGTATATAGCAGTCAGGGTTGATGACACGAGCACTAGCTGGCGTTATCCACCGATGATAACCATATCATTGGCAGATGCTTTAAAAGTGTCAGAAAAAGTGCACAGGATGCAAGAATGGCTGATGAGTTGAACAACTTCGAAGAAAATGACGCGGAGGAATTTGCCAGAAGACTAGTGTGTGCAAACGAATTCTTAAAAAAAGTATGATAGTGAAAAACGTGTGCGTTACCATGCGCATTTAGTGGCCAAAGACTACACAAAAACTGGTGTAGACTGTCAGGAGACCTGCTCGCCGGTGATAAGACATACAACACTTAAGACTTTTGTTTGCTTTCTCCGTGCAGTTCAGTTTAAATAATTCAAACGTAGATGTGACGACTGCTTTTCTGAACGGTTTTCTTGAGTAGGCGATTTACCCCATTTAGGCGATTTGTGTGTGTAAATCTCTCCTCAAGAATACTTTAGGGTGTTGATAATGATGATGCTATCGGCATGGTGCTTAAGTTAAAACGTGCGATATATGGACTCGAGCAATCCTCAAGGGCATGTGCAGGAGAGTAGATGACTGCTTAATTAACAGTGCTTATACTAGATCGACACTAGAACCATGTTTGTATGTGAAAAGTAGCAATGATCTGAGAACGCTAATTGCTCTGTACGTTGAGGCTATTTCATTTTTTTCCAATGATCAACACGAAACAGAGCTGTTAAAGCCGGTGCTTCCTTCACATTTTAAATTAAAGGATCTAGGACAGCTCGGACAGTGTCTAAGTGCGAATGTAATATTGACAATGTTAATAATGTAACATTAAAAAAAGATAAAAGTTGTTACGTGGACCAATTATTGCATAGATTTAATATGACTGAGTGTAAGGTTGTTGGAGCACCTATGTAGGAACAGTTTGTAAACAGATTGTAATGCCTATATCCATATTAGCAACTCATAGACAGTTTTATGTACCTGGCCGTGTTGACTAGGCGTGACATCATGTCTAGTATCCTCTGTCTTATTTTTTTATTATATAATCAGTTCAATAACTCATATGACGAGCAG